AGAATTCTAGGCAGGGAGCAGATTTGCAGCCTGGTAGTCCTAAAGTCTGCTAGCTCCTTGCATGTTAAAATATTAGTCTTTAGGGATGTCGAGACAGAGTTCCTGAACTGAATTGCTGTTTCTTAGGAAGCAGAAAAGTGAGCAAGTAGTATAAGAATCGGGCCTTTTTTTTTAAGTAGACTACCTTAGGGAAACAGATTCTTTTTTTTTTTTTTGAGTTGGCATCTCACTCTGTCATCCAGACTGAAGTGCAGTGGCTTGATCATGGCTACTGCAGCCTCTACCTGCTGGGATTAGGCATTCCTTCTGCCTCAGCCTTTCAAGTAGCTAAAACCACGGGCACACGCAACCACACCTGGCTAATTTTTTTATTTATTGTAGAGACAAGGTCTCACCATGTTGCTCAGGCTTGTCTCGAACTCCTGAGCTCAGGCAATGCTCTCCCCTCAGCCTCCCAATGTGCTGGGATTACAGGCATGAGCCACAACGCCCGGCCCACACGATCTTTAATAGTTACATATTTTTGCTTGGCATTTCTGAAATTTACAAAACACTTTCAAATATGCTACTTCATTTAATCATTACCCTTTCCAGGAATGTACGCATTACTATCCCCATTTTACAGAAGAGGAAGCTGGGGCTTAGAGACTCAGACTTAGTTCTTTCAACTCCCATCTAAATGGTCTATTTATTACTCCTAACCCCATGGCTTCTCATTTGTGCTTTTCCCCCAAGCTTCCCAGTTGGTACTGTGGGAAATTTCCCAGCTTGCTTGTGGAGGGGTCCCACCCAGACAAGTAGGCAATACCTGAAAGTTGTTCAGTTGACAGTACTGAATGGAGTTTCAGAGGCACAAAGGGCTGTACAGGACATTTTCAACCTCTTTATCTTCCTGGTAAGAAAACTAGAGCCTGCAGAGGGAATGATCTGCCTACATTCCCAAGGCTGGATTCCAAATCCCGTTCATGGCAAAACTGTGGCCAGCAGACTCTGGTTTCACATACCCACTCAGGCACAGCCTTCCCAATCAAAGCCAAGAGGAAAGTTGTGGATAGGCCTTGGCTAATATCGGTTCTCATCCTGTCTGATAAAAAGGAAAAATCCTATTAATTATGAAACCATAAATTATCAGGTAGAAGAGAGCTTTTAGGTAATCTGGTGTAATCTTTTGTCTTTTGCAAATGAGAAAAGTGAGATCTAAAAAGATAAGCAGAGCGCCCAGATGCTAGTCCCCAGATACTGAGCCCAACTTGTGCTTGGTAACCCTGAACTTGCTGTGCTCAAAGTATCAAATGCTGTTCCCCCAGCTTGTCAGAGACAGTCTGACTTAAAAATTTCCAGACACAGGTACCTGACTCAGCCTTCACTTTGCCTTGGCAATGGAGATCAGGCATCAGCTGCTGGGGCTTGGATGATGTGTTCCTGGAGCAACATGGTGAGTGTGAGCTGCCAACATTGAAGTCTCAGGGAATGTAAAGTGTTGAACCAGTTAAACATCCAAAAATGCCCCGTCTCTCAGAAACAAGGGTGACTCATCACAGCAGTTGGGCTACTACTGGGAAATCGCATTAGGGTAGCGATGAGAACTAGAAGTCCATGCTCAGAGGCCCTCAGCTTCCCTGCCTCTGGTCTTTTGCTCTCAGGTCTTTTCTCCAATCCAGAACCAATATATGCTCTACTCCCAAACTGAGCTTTCCTCCTCCAGGAAGCCTGCCTTGACTCTTCAAGCCTGGAGGAGGTTTTCCTTTTCAAACTTTGAGAATTTGCTCTGTACAATTTGGGACTCAATTCTATACCATCTTGTATTGCTTCTTAACCATTTAAGTGTTTGTTTTATAGCTGACGCAAATGCTCTGAGAAGGACTAGGCTTCCTCCTCTGTACTCTATGGTGGATCTCAGAGTATCACCAAAGAAAAAAGACATGATTAGACAGGACAGGGAGTCCTGACTTCAAGACTGATCTACTTTGTGTTTGCATATACATCAAATGCTCAATAAATCCTCACTTGTTTCACTGGCTTCAGTCTTTTCAAAGAAATAACTCAGTAGCCAGGGCCTTTGTCAGTCCACACTGAGTCTCTGTGCAAATTATAGAAAAGGCACCTCTCCCTCGGGGAAGACACAGTGCTGCCAGATTGCTGGACAAGTAGAGCGTGGGCTAGATGTCAACCCCTCAGCCAGGTGCCCTGTGCAGTGAGCCACATGCACCACCGGGACTCTGGCTTCTAGGGAAAGCAGCAATAGGATCTCTCTTCCCATGGCCCTCCTCCATTCTGATGGAAAAGGTCTGCCTTGGGAAAGCTGGCATCAGACTTCCCAGACTGTCTCCAGCTCTCTTCCCGTCCAGATCAAACAGCAACAACAGAAAATACACACCTGCACTAGCTCCCCCACCGTTCTGGAGCCTGAGGTCTATGTTCCTGGCAAGGCATTTGGGGCCCTCTATAATACTGTCACAACCTTCCTTTCTCTGCCAGGAAGACTCAGAACTCACCACGACTTGTCCCATTTCTCTGCTTTTGCTTCCTCACAGTCTGGATTGCCCTATTCCTGTTGATCTTTGTGTTGGATCCCGAGTCCCCTTTCAAATTCTATCCCAAACCCTACCTCCTCTGTGACACTTCAATCAACACCAACTGTTCTTGAAGCTTCTCTCCACCCCACCCCTCTGCTGTCCACATTGCTTGGGCCTCTAATGCAATCCTTTTCCCATGTGTTGTTAGCATGTCACCCAGTGGCCAGCTGTCCTTTAGACCCCTGTCCACACAGGCTTTCTGTACTTATCCCACAGCATCCCTGATGTTTCATTCAGCAGCACTCTGGATTCTACCAAGGAATCCATACAAACAAATTGGTGAGAAATATTAACTTACCGATGCCTTATTTCATAGTCCACCTCATAGCAAACTATTTACCAATCTGTGCAAGCAATCCTGCCCTTAACATCCTGGCTTGGTTGCCTTGTTCTGAGGCTTCTCTCTCATCACCCTTCTCCAATGTGCTCCCAACTGAGTTTCCACACTCAGTCTTTGTGTGCTTCCCCATTCATCCCATCCAACCTGTTTCTCTCCTGTTCCAACAGGCAGCACAACTCAGTGTTGCCCAGCTCCTCCCTGCCAACCCGTGACCCCAGATCCATCATGATGCTCCTCCAAACATGGGCTCTCCTTTAGGTTAGCCTTCCTTAGAAGGCGCCAGGTTTGACAGGGTCAGGATGTCGTTCTTGCAATATGTAGATGCGTTTTCCTCCATATAGGATGCGTTTCAGAAAGTAAGGTTTGTGTCTTCCACATCCACTCAACCTTGCACAGTGAAAAGTACAAACAGTGAGCCCGTGCCCAGGGTTTTCCTCTGCCAGCGGCAGGGATGATTTTGAGCCCTTTCTGTCTCTCAGGTTCTCTTTCTTCCTGAGTAAGACCCAGGCCTGAAGTTAGGAGATAGTGCCTGAAGACATAGCAAGAGTTTAACAAATAGTTGTAAAATGATTAATCAATGAATGAAAAGGAAACAAGAAAAGAGAGAAGAACTTGGAGAGCACCCTCGCTAAGATCATTTCCGTCTAGCTGAAGGGAACGTTGAGAACCAACCTGTAGTGGCAGGGTGAAGTGTGAGTGGTGAGTGGTGAGATAAAGCGAAGACACAGGGCCCTGCTATGGCTCTACGTCCATCGCCAAGTGGAACTCTAAAGAGCCCTCTGGGCCTCTGCTTCTCATCTGTCTGTCTCATCAGCCTGCCTGCAGATGGTCCAATAAGAACACTGACCAATCAGGCCCTTGGGGATGTTTGACATTCATGTTTGAAGCATCTTCCCTAAATGCCCAGACACCCAGGGCCCCTTGGCGCCTCCGCTCTATGCAGAAAGCTTTTCTTGGCTACAGTACCGGGCCGAGGACCTTCACTGCCCGCTGGCGGAAAAGAATTCTCAGCTGTGGAAAAGGGTCAACTCCACATATTTTACAGATGAGAGTCTAAACTCCTAATGACTCTAAATGTGGTGTGAAATAGACAGAAGTCATCTTGCTGGCGTGACATGCCAGCAAAATCGTGTCACCACCACTATCACCCCCTATGTGGATATGAACGTCATGGAAAGAGAAGCAACAAATCATGGCGGCTGGGTCAGTACTGCTCCCCTCTCCCTCCCTTCTCCCCTCCAGTTCCTTTCTGTGCTTTTCTACACTTAAGAAAAAAGAAATGGTCTATTTGTTCTGCAAGAATATAGTCCAAGGTCACCTAAAAGCAAAGGAGCAAGAGAATTAGCAATCCACAGTCCTGAGATGAGACCCAACCCTCAGGTGGCCCCCACCATAGCTGCAGAGGGGGAATCTTTTCAGATTGAATGACTGCCAATCCACGGCTGCTGGGGACAGAGTTGTCAGAAATGTCTCCCTGGACAGGACCAGTGATTTAGAGACTAGAGGCACTGAGTTCCTGGGAAACAAAAAGGACTTGTTGATTCCATATTTTTATTTTTCTCTGATGTATTAAGGCAGTCTAGACCTGCGTTGAAAAAAAGGAAATACCCAATCGGTATTTTGTTTGTCAACAGGCCTCGGCGTCAGCTGGCCTCTAGTGTCCAACGCTGTTGCATCCTCTTCACACCTCTAAACCCCTAACGCCTCCTCCCTAACCGAAGCCCGGTCAATTAGACCAAGATGCCCGCGCCCAAGTCGTACCAAAGGGGCTCAGGTTCCCACTGAAAGGATCCACATTCGTGTGTGTGCGCGCGCGCGTGTGTGTGGCGCGTGTGTATGCGCGCGCGCGCGTGTGGCAGGGCGGGCTCTGCGCCCGGGGGCAGGGCTCCGCAGTGAGAGTGGCAGCTGGACTTGCCAGGCTGTGAGGGGCAGGGCACAGAGCCGCAGTGCCGTAGTAGCGGGCAGCCGAGACAGACCGCTTTGGAGCCGCGGATCGCCGAGCAGAGGCGGAAGACCCC